ATAGATAATGTTTTATTTTCTTTCAAATTTGATTAAAACTTGATAAATGACAACTTGTATATCCTATGTTAGTATTTGATACACATATCATATAGTACTCGTGGTGAGTTCTTCGAATTGTTAAATGTCCTTCTTCCATGGTTTACAATTACTTTAAACAACTTCAGTACTCCTTGATCAAATTTGATGAGCTTTTCTTTAAATTTTGCTGGAATTTAAAGACTTTCAAAAATTGATCACATAGTTATATCTATTTCATATCTGGGTCACAGAAGCTAATGTTGAAGAAAAATCCGTTACAAAAATGCAAAACCTAAAGCTAGGATATTTGTTTGGCAGCATTTTCTTATAAAACTTTACAAAGAACGTTCAAATCATGCTCTGCGGTTAAAAACTGACCCAGCATTCAGGTCCTATTTTACAAAGACTCATATAGGGAACATCTTATATGTTTTTCTTACTTTGAAGGTCATTGCACTGTCTGCTCAGAGATTTTACATTGTTTTGATAAATTCAAATTCAGCTTGCTAATATCAATGAGTTTAAGTTGAGCGAATTAGGTACATCGTGGCCACTTGATACTTTAAGAGATGTATTTTGTATACATGTATTCAGTTTTTTTAGTACGATTTTGATAACTTTTTATTATGTTTGTAAAGGGAGATAAATAGATATGTACAAGTACATTTTGATATGTATATTATAATATATTATACTGTCAGTACTGATTGCAAGTATGATATGTTTACAGATTTTTTATGAATGCTTACATAATTTTATAGTCCATGTATCAAAAATAAATTTTTGAAATAGCATCGATGTTAAAGTTATCATATATACACAAATGTACGTAAATCAGTTTTGTTGATAGGTATGAAGCTGTACACAATTATTCTTGATTTGTATGCTACTTTGGAAATTATCATTAGGTGGCCCAAGTACTGGTTAGTCCAGGAATAAGAGAACACACAAGAATGAACTCGACACATTTCTTTAAGGTTTATAAAGTTTATAAACCAAAACAACAAGGGAAAACCCTTTAATGGTGTTGTCTAGAAAAACAAAACAAACGAGCTAGTTGCATAGATATAAAAACCAAAATAAGCTAGCGGCATTATAAAATAGCCTAAAATAACAACAAAAGAAACAAAATGGCGGCATAATCAAGTTAACCGTATGTAAAAACCAAAAACAAACTGGTTGCATTAAAAAAAAAGGACTTAAATATATAACAACCAAGAAAAATAAGATGGCAGCATAATCAAAGGACTAAAACATAACAACTAAAACTAAAAAGATGACAGCATTATATATAAAAGATCTATGGTGGCATATTTCTGCCACCAGATAACCTGATAACTAACTAGTTAATTAAGAGGTTAACTAGTTACGTAAATAGTTAACCTATTAATTAACTAGTTAGTTATCAGGTTAAATAGTTACGTAACCAGTTAATTTTTCCTATAAATAAAAGATCATAACGGGAAATGAATGCATGTAAGTGCTTACAACTGTCATCCTTACGTAAATACGTAACTAGTTAACCTCTTAACTAACTAGTTAATAAAGACAACTAGTTACGTAACTCATAACTAGTTAATCTCTTAATTAACAAGTTAGTTAAAAGGTCAACAAGTTACGTAAATATGTAACTAGTTAATCACTTAAATAACTAGTTAATTAAGAGGTTAACTAGTTACGTAACTAGTTAACCTCTTAATTAACTAGTTAATTATTTGGTTAACTAGTTTCGTAAATAGTTAATTTTCCAATAAATAAAAGATCATAACGGGAAATGAATGCATGTAAATGCTTACAACTGTCATCCTTACGTAAATACGTAACTAGTTAACTTCTTAACTAACTAGTTAATTAAGATAACTAGTTACGTAACTCATAACTAGTTAACCTCTTAATTAACTAGTCTGTTAAGAGGTGAAAAAGTTACGTAAACACCTTTTTGTTGTTGTTGTATTAGGTTTATTTTAGCTCGGCGCCGGAAATTCCATATGTCCGAGATTTCAGCGTCCATGCCGGTCCATTATAGAAGTATCATAGGGGACGTCTTTTTCATGCCGATCTTCCTAAGTCCTGTTCTTCGTTCGATGGAGGAAAGCCACTTCCGGAAAAGCATCAAGTCCCGTGACGACTGCAAACAGGCGGTTGATATAAAACGGCTCTTGTTAGCGCCACCCTCCAGAGTAAGTCACGACAGGTCAACCAATCACCTCTGGTACTTGAGATGATTTGACCTTGGCCTGCCGTGTGCCTTCTCCGCGACGTGCACGCCTATGGAGGGTTTGGAGAAGAACGTAAATACGTAACTAGTTAATCACTTTAATAACTTGTTAATTAAGAGGTTAACTAGTTACGTAACTAGTTAACATCTTAATTAACTAGTTAGTTATATGGTTATCTGGTGGCATGAATATGCCACCATAAAGATCTAAAAATGTATCTAATAAAATGTAATTATACACATACCTATCTGATACTTAAGTTAACAAACACAAAACATTTAAAGATAAACAGATCATTCTCTGCATTTAACTCCCTGTTATTTCACTGATAAGACTTGTGTTGGCAGTTATTGGCAATTTTAGTGTTTTTTAATGATCGATACATGTACTTTTTCGTTATCTATAAATCTAACAGAAAAAATATCTAGTTAGTAATCTATCGTGTTTACACAAAAACTAACTAGTAAGTCAGATTGTTAACGCAATAATTCTATGGTTTACTGTTGACAGAAATATGCCACCATAAATATCACATATCCGAGAAAGCATCGTAATAATTGTATTTTACGGGTTGAATTACAGTCAAATACGGCATTTAAGAACCAAAGCCGTGAGCAAAGGAATGAACGACAAATTATGTATAAAATCGGAGTAATAATTTTGAATATAGATCAAGAATGCCAGTTAAAAAAAGGAAATTACTTTTATTTGGAAAATATATGCTGAAATATCTGTTATGTATAGTGACTGATTTGTGTCATTCGTGATTTAGCCCCGCGACCCCACCAAGCGAAAAGTCATACTTTATTACCCGTGATTTTCGTGCACTGTACTATTTATAGAAACTCCCACGCGCTCAATTTCAAATCTATACTGAGCGGAAAAAGTTTGTTACCGTAATCATACCGTATTAATCATGAGTAAATCTGAAGGCGCTAAATGCTCAACACCTATATCAGAAGGCAAAAAAAGGGAACTTTCCTCACCTATAGATTGTACCGACATTAAAAAACCTAAATCGTCTGAAACTCATATTGTCCTGTCAAAAGAGGACATTGCTGCCATCGCTGACGTTCTGAAAGATACATTTAGACCAGAACTGTTAAGCGTAGATGTCCAAGTTCAGGCTATTGTTGATGGAGTTCTTACAGGTCTTAACAAAAAAATACACCATCTTGAACACGAGAATGAAGAATTGCGTGCACGTGTTACTAAACTTGAACGTGATGCTGACACGGCTGAACAGTACAGTCGACGAAATTGTCTTCGCATATCTGGTGTTCCTGAAAATGGTGACGAAAATATCCTTACAACTGACCAGACTTCTGTAAAGTCTCCTACAGTTAACCCTGAACCTACTGACGGAAAAATCTTGCAAATAGCGGAAGCACTAAATGTCCACCTAACAAGTTCAGATATCGACCGATCTCATCGTGTTGGCAAACCAAAGGCGGGTAAGCCCAGGGATATTATCGTCAAGTTTTCAACTTACAGAGCAAGAAACATGCTCTATAAATCAAGGGTAGAACTTAAAAACCGTGGCTACAAAGGTGTCTTTGTAAATGAGGACTTAACAAAAATGCGTGCGTCCCTTTTCTTTAGAGCCCGTCAACTTTTGAAAGATCGATTTATTACTGGCGCTTGGACCTATGATGGCACTATTATGGTGAAAGACTCTAACCTCAGCGTACATAGAATAGCCACTGAAGCTGAACTAATGGCTGTTAAAAGTGAAGAGCCAATTAAACGAAAATACTGACAACACGTAAACATTGATTGAAGTGATTGTAGCGATATCTTTTTCGGGAAGTATACATACTCGCTCTCTGCTATTTATAGACTATAAATTCAATAGTGCATATTGGTAAACACTGACTTTAGCGATATTGTATAGACATACCAATAGAGCATATCCGGTAATAATATTGCTGAAATGTTTTAATAAAAGATGAATTTACGTAATAGTTGTATCTATGGGGATTTTGTTTTTGTTTTAATATATAAAGTATATATAAAATCAATTTCATAGTAACGCGCTTGACAGAATTGATTCATAATTTTACTCAATAAATAAAAGCGCGTTATAGACTTCAAGTGTTATCATAAACTTCAGTTACTCTGGTACATTATGCCGGAATTTATATACATGTATATTGAGGCAAGAAACAAGTAATTCTGTTTTATAAATCAATTTCTATAGTAAGATCAGTATGTTTTAGCATTTTTTCATTTTTTTTTTTTTTTGCTAAATCCGATATGAGATCTTTAGGATTTTTTAATTCAATACAATGTAAAATAAAGTAACACTGTAACATGTCAAAAATTTATAGTATGGATTATTCCCCTTTCTTTAGTTTCTTAATATATTGATATACAAGATGTTGTATTATATTGAGAAATGCTTTATTTGTAAAATGAAAATGTTTTTTTAAATGTACATTGTTAAATGTTATTATGTAACTAGAACTGTATTGATATACATGCATGTTGTTTTCACATTGTATATTCTCTTAACTAGAAGTATTTCGGTACATACAGTGTCAATTGTTTTTTACGGAGAAGTAACACAGTGTACTTTGAATTCTCTTAATGAATTATTTTGGCACGCAATATCTAATTTTTTCTTACCTGAGAAAGATCGCGAAGTTCATTCTCTGAACGTATGTAATAGGGGTGGTTCGGCGCAATTATATATAACTATCCGAGCCCCTAAGGGTCAAATGAGTTCGGGATTGTTAAAATCAAATCAACAAACAGCTGTAAAGTTCTATCCTCTTTATATACTGATCACATCAAGGTTGGTACATCACATAAGGTACAAACCAACAACACTCTGAAATAAGTATATAACAATATGTAAATATAAAGTAAAATAAAGTAGAAACAATGCATTAATTATTATCATATCTTACATAATCAATTACATGTCTAGTGGCCAATTCAGTTCTTTACACTCAGCAACAGTCCTTAAATATAATATCATAGCTTATGGAATTATACTCATAATTAACATATTTTACCTTTTAAACAATACACAATACATCACACATGTAACTTACCATCTGAGGGATGAGTGCAGTACATCAATCTAACTATTACCTCTCTGACTATCACACCAGTGACTGTTAACTGCAAGGTTAAATATTAATAGTGAATAAAAGATGAAAGGTGATTTGATAGATACATGTCATTCTGAAACTCATACTTATTTACAAATTTCACAATCAATGGACTGATCCAAAATACAACAGAATCACAATAATGCAATTCTACTTATTTACAATAAGCATTTAGCAGCAGTCAGGATAAATACATACCAACTTAGGAAATAAAGAACTTGACCACAAACACTTATTTTTCTAACCTCTCCTTTACAACAAAACAAAGACACAATGACTTTTCCCACCAATAAATCACATGACATAAAAATAGCTTAAAACCAACGATCCGTGAACCACTCATTTGAATTCTTAGAATACTGACCAATGTAAACATAAGATAAAATCAGTTAAAACCAATAGAGTAATCTCCCTTGAAAAGTATCAGACAAGACCGACGGATTTGTCTCCCTTTGCTACATTATAAAATCCAACAGTAAAGCAAGAGTATTGTCCCTTAGACCTGATCCTAAAAATAAGACCCTGTTACATACTTCCCTGGTCTGAAAAAATGACGTCCCGTCATTGGTCATAAATGTCTTCAGTCTTCAGTCTGGTCTTTCTTTTAAATTTACAAACAATAATAAACATACAAAGAAAGTTTTTATCTCGAAAAAATCGGTCAGTGTGTTACACAATAATTGTTACATTACAATTACCTTTCTATTTTACAAATGTATAGTTACATATACATTATAACATTATTGTCATAAGCATTTAATATCTAAAATAATCAGATATTAAGTGACATTCATTACATTAATGTTAACTTGTTGACATAACATTATATAGCATTTAATATCTGAAATAATCAGATATTAAGTGACATTCAATACTTTTTAAGTTTATTTGTTTGTATATTTATTTATATTATAGTTAATCATGCTTCATGTTTAACTATTATATATCTCTCCTCCCCTCTTTTTAATAATGAAGACATTAATATATATTAAAACAATGGTTTTCATTTTAAAATATATAAAATCAGAATTAAATGTTATAACATTTCAATACAATGAAGTAATACAACAATTCAATTCAAATCATTTCATGATGGCTTCTAGTAGTTTATGAGCAACGGCTGTGTCCACTTGATTTAAAATACCGGATTTCATCAAAACATCCACAGCTTGTATTTTAGAATCATATGGTCTTGGTACCACAGCATTCATGTAGTAGTCTTCATATTTTGATGGAGGCTTCTTATCTCTAGTAGACCTTCTTGGTGCTGGTTTAGGTGCTGCAGGTACCTCTGGTGTACATTCTGCACCTTTATTTTGTTTTGTCTGTACTGTGACTAAATCTGTCTCGTCTGTTGTTACATCTGTGTTGTCTGTTGTTATATGTGTCTCTCCTGTGTCTATTACATGTGTCTCTCCTGTGTCTACTATATGTGTCTCTCCAGTGTCTACTATATGTGTCTCTCCTGTGTCTACTACATGTGTCTCTCCTGTGTCTACTATATGTGTCTCTCCTGTGTTTGTTACATGTGTCTCTTCTGTGTTTGTTATATGTGTCTCTTCTGTTGTAATATCTGTGTCTTCCGTTGTTATATACATCTCCTCTATTGTTTTCTCTATCCCTTCTGCTTTATCTGTCTCCACAATGTTTGTTCCTGTATCCATATTTGTATTCACTGAATCTGTCATATTGATGTATTCTTCCTGTCCAAGCTCATGAGCAATATCTTCTTCATGCATTTGTATGTCATCATCAATAACGACTGTTTCGTCATCATTTATGTCAATTTGTTCACTGTTCTCACTATGAACACTTTTTTCGCTTGATTCATTGTTTTCACTTGTTCCACTTGCTCCACTGATTACACTTGTTTCACTTGCTCCACTGATTCCACTTGTTTCACTTTCTCCACTTGCTCCAGAGACATGCTTTACAGTAGGAATATGGGCGTCCCCACTATCATTTGTATGTAATACAAATTCTTCTTCCTCTGCTTCATTCTCCGAATCATTTCCGACGTCGGCTTTCTCTTTTCTCTCTTTCTCTTTTCCTCTTATAATTCTATTTTTATCTTCTTTCTCTGGTATGTATTGCTCTCTATTGTTGTTATCTTTCTCTTGTGTGTATTCCTCTGTGTCAGCATCATCTGTTATTTTCCTATAATTAACAGGATGTAGATGATTTCTGTGCAGCGTTTTTTCCTTCTTGGACTTTATCGATCTTAACTTGAATACAGGGACATCTGGTATTGGTTGGTCAATGACTTCGTAGACTTCTTCTTCAAATTTATCAGCTATTTTATGCTTCCCTTCATATCTTAAAATTTTAACCAAGACTGTATCGCCAATGTTGATTCTTGCTGCTTTAGCTTTGATGTCATACTGTTCTTTTTGTTTAGCTCTAGCTTTGTCATTGAATTCTTTAACTATTTCTCTTGTTGAAGTCATTCTTTTCTTTAAATCTTCTATGTATTCATTTACACTTTTTGTTGTTTCTTCTTCTTCTGTCACTTGTTCAAACATAGAGTCTATTGGAAGCTTAGGTTTTCTACCAAACATGAGTTCAAATGGTGAAACGTTTGTAGACTCATGTGGTGTACTATTGTATGCGTATACTAGTGATGGTACATATTTCTTCCAGTCTTGTTTCTGAGATGCATTGAGTGTTCCTAGCATGTTGAGTAGTGATCTATTAAATCGCTCAGGCGTGGAATTTCCCATAGGATGGTATATCGTGGTGCGACTTTTCTTTGTGTTTAGTAGATGACAGAGTTCTTGAATAATATCTGACTCAAAAATTTGCTCCTTGGTCTGAGTGTAATCTGGTCGGAATACCATAATGGACGATGAAATGGTTGAATAAAGTTTCAGCTGTTGTTTTTGCTGTCTGGTTACGAGTTGGAATGGCTAAGGCATATTTGGTGAAGTGATCTGTTATTACTAAGATGTTTGATATTCCTCTTTTTGATTCTTCCAGAGTTAAAAAGTCCATGCACACTAATTCAAGAGGATAAGTTGTAGTTACATTCACTAATGGTGCTCTGTCATTGGTTTTACTTTTTCTCCATATGCATCTCTCACATTTGCTGATATATTCTTCTGTATCTATGAACATGCCTGGCCAAAAAATATCATTCTCGAAGTAGTCTAAGAGTTCTATCTCTGCCAGGATGACCAACATCTGTATGAAGACCTTTAAGTATTTCTTTTCTGTACTTTTCTGGAATAACAAGTTGTTCTCTTTCTGAATCTCCATCAAGTATTTTTCTGTAAAGAACACCTCGTTTTCATTGTGAAATTCTTAAAGTATCTTTTCATAATAATGTCTTCTTTGGATAATGTTTTTGGAATTTTCTGGTCTAAGTAAGCACGTCTCCATCTATCTATGAGGATATCTTCTCTTTGGCTCTTTCTTAGTTCTCTTAATTCTACTTGTGCTATAGGTTGTGTTAAGTCTTCAGTGGCTTGAAGAATATTTAAATTTTCACAAGGGATTGTCTCAATGTATGGTGGTATAACAGTTGTACGACAAATGACCTTGACCTCGTTGTTATTAATCTTTCCCATGTTATCAGGTGTTTTCTCTTTGTCAAATGGATATCTGCTAAGACTGTCTGCATCTGCATTGTTAATTCCAGCACGATAGTAGATATCAAAACTGTATTGTCCCAAAGCTGAAGCCCACCTTTGACCTGTGGCGTCAAGTTTAGCAGATGTAAGAACATAGGTCAAAGGGTTGTTATCTGTTAATACTGTGAAATGGTTCATTTGCAGATAGTCTGAAAATTTCTCTGTCACCGCCCATTTAAGTGCAAAAATTCTAGCTTGTATGCACTGTAATTCTTTTCAGATTTGCTGAGTGATCTGCTAGCATATGCCACTGCATGTTTGTTGTTGTCATCTACCTGGTATAAGACTGCTCCAAGTCCTTTTGTCGAGGCATCCGTGTGTAATTCGAAAGGTTTTGTGAAGTCTGGATAAACTAATATGGGAGGCTTTGAAAGTATTTCCTTTAAATCATCAAAAATCTTTTGTTCATTATCTGTCCAATTCCATTCTTTTGTTATCTTCTTTTGTTTTTCTTTGTTGATGTTGGAGGAAGTAAGTCTGCTAGAGGTCTTGTAATTTTACTAAAGTCTTTTATGAATCTTCGGTAGTATCCAGCAAAAGCCAAAAATGATCTTAATTCATCAGAATTTGAAGGAGTAGGCCAGTTTTTAATTTTCTCAATTTTAACTGGATCTGTCTCAATGCCATCCTCTGATACCACATGTCCTAAAAAGTGTACTCTTGGTTGGATGAAGAAACATTTCTCTGGTGACAATTTCAGTTTACATTCATGAAGGCGTGTGAGAATCAAGTCAAGTCTTCTTATGTGTTCTTCAAAAGTTTCAGCAAAAACAATGAGATCATCTAGATAAATAACACAAATAGTCATATTGTAATCTCCAAGGCACTCCTCCATAAGTCTTTGGTATGTTGCTGGGGAGTTACTAAGACCAAAAGGCATTTTCACGTACTCGAAGAAACCGAAGGAGCCTACTGTGAATGCCGTCCTTTCTTTATGACTGTCTTCAATTTCCACTTGGTGATAACCAGCTTTCATGTCAATAGTTGAAAAATATTTGCTGCCTTTCAATATATCAAAAACTTCTTCAATCCTTGGAAGAGCATAAGCATCTTTAACACTTCTGTCATTCAGCATCCTATAATCCACACACATGCGTAGTTTACCATTTTTCTTTCTTACTAAAACAACATTGCTTGCCCATGGTGATTTTGATTTCCTTATTATTCCAGATGTCAAAAGTTGATCTAAATGTTGTCTAACTTCTTCGATCATCATTGGTGGAATCCTGCGATGCCTTTGTTTGAATGGTGTTTCATATCCCGGAAGTAAATCAATTCTATGTTTAATTTTATCACATTGTCCTATATCTGTGTCAGAAGTAGAGAAGATTGACCTATGTTTTTGAAGTAGTTCCATTAATGTTTCTTTTTGTTTATCACTCAATGTTCCACTGTTGTCTACATGCACTTGATCTAAGACATCTGTTTTGTTTAATTCCTCTGAAAGTTTATTCATGCTGTCATGGTCTATTGTTACTGGCTGAAGTTCACAGAGTATAGAATTTTGGCTGAATGGTGATTAGTATTTGTTGTTAAGTTTTGATAAGTTGACCCATAATATCTGAATTTTCTCTGTACTTGTAATTTATAACTGATGGAGCAATATCAATGTAGGCAGGAAGTGTAGATTCTTCACATTCATGAACAATGGCTAATGTATCATGGTATCTTAATTCTCGATCTGAATATCCTTTCACATTTAATTGATTTCATTTGGTCTTAAGATGATTTTGTCTGGCACAGCACTTCTTACAATTGCAATCCTATCTTTGTTCTTCTTTAGTTCCTTTTCTCTAATAACAAAACATCTAAATGTCAAAAACCAAGGTGTACTTATTCCATTTCTTGAGCTTTTTGTAAGAATTGTTCTCCGTATTGTTCTTTACAATCACTTAAAAGTTCCATTAGTATGTTAGTTCCAAGAATCACTGGAGTTGTTGTAGAGAATTTGGTATCTGGACTCACTAGAAAAAGACCTAAGTATGTTTTAGAATGTGGTAGTCTATCTGTAATGCTTATTTCAAGATCAATATAGCCATCATAAGGTAGTTTGTTGCCATCCGCACACTCAATGTTAATATCTGTCAAAGGTTTAAGTCCTAAAGTTTTAAAGTTTTCTTCATAAAATGTTCTGGAAATGATGCTAACACAACTGCCGGTATCTAATAATGCTTTGCTTGGTATGTTGTTTAATAGAATTTCTGTTTCGTTGGTGTTACCAATAAGCATGGGATCTTTCTGTGTGCCCTTGTTCAATCCCACAACAGGAGCACTTACACGTTTTTTGGGCAAAATCTTGCGATGTGTCCTTTTTGATGACAGTTGAAACATTCCGGTGTCATTGTGGTTTGTCCGATTGGTCTTCTTGGTCTATAAGTTCCTCGACCTCTGCCTCTATCACCATAACCTCTAGTGGTGTCTCCATAACCTCTACCTCCAAATCCATTGTAACTTTGTCTTGGCCAAGGTGATTGGTAATATCCTTGGTTTGATGGTCTGTTTGCCTCATCTTGCTTCTTTTCTAAGTTATTTATCCTTTCATTTAGTTTCTTTAACAAGTCTTTTACTTCAGACATCTCAGTACTTTCTTTCTTTTCCAGGTTTACAGCAGCATTGCACTTCCTAACTTCCTTTTCACTATCTTTAAGTTCTGCCTCGATCTTTCTTAATTCTATCTTGAACTTATCATAATCAGTGACCATTTTATTCTTAAATGCAGCGTGATGTTTAATTTCTGCCTTTAATCCTTCATATAAAACCCTTTTAATTGTTCAGTGTCTGAATGATGAAGTCCTTTAAGTTCCACAGCTTGCGAAAAAAGTTCTTCTAGTCTTGAAGTATAAGCTGCGATAGATTCAGTTTGTTACTGTTTACAAGAATAGAATTTACACAAAATGCTTTCTTTAGTTTCGATGTTGCCAAAAGTACTCTCAAGTTTATCTAACACTTGTTTCACGGTAACACCTGTCCCTAATCGCCGAACAACATCACTTGCATTCCCCTTTAATGCTCTTCGTATTCCCAATAATATCTGCTCATCCCTGTAAGCCTTCTCCACAATTAATGCTTCAACCTCAAATTTAAACGTCGCCCAACTCACATCACCCTTGTTGTCTTCACCTTGAAAACTAGGAAGTTTTGGGAAAGGGAATGATACTGAATACTTTGTTGTTGATGATCAGATGATCAGTAACAGGAGTAGAAATACTAGCAATTCAGGAGTAGAAGTGCTAGCAGTAGATCCAGATGTAGGGGGTGTTGGTAACTTCAAACTATAAGTTTCCTTCTCTGTCTTTATTGGTGGCTCCATAATTCCGAATGACGAGGCTTTGCTTTTGATTATATGAATCAAATCATCTGAATTTTCGACTCCAAGTGTCTTTAAAGCTGACAATAAAGTCTCCTCCTCCTCTGTTATAAGTCTAGGACCTTTTGCAGCTTCATAAGTTTTTCCTTCCTCTCCGTCCGACATCTTTGGGTAATTTCACAAAGTATGTTTGTGACACTATATAAAGGTATTCACCTTTTTTGTAGAAATATTCAAATTCACAAGAATGTTTGTGACACTATCACCTTTTGTAGAATTATTCAATTCACAACATCCAATTCACGTTTCACTAATACTAAAACGTGTAATCACTATGTGTTTCAGATAACACAAAATCACTATGTTTCGAGAGAACACGAAATCACTATATCACTATGTTTCCAGACAACACAAAATCACTATGTTTCCAGAGAACACAAAATCACTATGTTTCCAGAGAACACAAAATCACTATATTTCCAGAACACAAAATCACTAGGTTTCCAGAGAATATCACTATGTTTCAAACCACATATTTCAATAAATTCACTTTAACAATGTCTTTCACTGACTTTCAACTTTGCCTATTTCACTGACTTTCAACTGTATCTATTTCACTGCATTTCACTAATATCTATTCCTTTGACTTTCAACTTAATTCAACAACTTTCAAGCTTTATCTTATACAAAGCTATACACAAAGTTTTTTATGTGTTCATTCAACACATATTTCAAAAATAAAACGACCGAAATTCACGTCAGAGCTCTATAACGCATCGAAACATGTACATGTATATCGAAATATTTGCGCAAATCGAACACAACGACGGTTATTGTTTTAATATGATTTAAAAATATTTAAAATGAAAAGAAATGCTTTCTAGAATCTCTCTTCATGTATAAATATAACTCTTTTCCCTTTATAACGAGTTATAACTATTTAATTTCAAGTTATTGTATTATCTTATCAAATAACTTGAACTATTATTTTTATTACACAAAGTACAAATTATAATAAATTAATTCATATTTAATTAATTTATTATTTATCTGAACCACAAACTATGTGCTATTACGATAATAGTTTAAAAGTAAAGTTAAAATTTTATTTTAACTTAACTTGAACTTATTTAGTTTTAAGTTAACTTGAACTACTAAGTTTGACCTACATAGTTTACATGTATGTATATTAATTTTCAAAATAACTTTTGTTATTTAGAATCAAAGTCTATTTTAAATTAAAAATATCCTTATTTAAATCAATAAAGATATTTATTAAATGTTATATATTATTTATATTATTTTAATTTTATTCTTATTTATTCAACACCAAGTTATTCCAGTACTGTAATTTTATAAAAACTCTATCAACTTGTATAAGTTGAAAGTGTAAACAACTTATTTAATTTAATTTCAACCTTGGATTCAAATTCCAAACTTGAAATAACCTTTATTTATATATATAATTATCCCTTTGTATAATTATTTTATCAATTGACTACAAAATAACTCAATAGTTTACCAAATTAAATCATAAAGTTGTTTCAAACACCTGTTTTACATATACACTCAATGACCTACATTTGTACTACACTGTTACCAAACAGCTGATCAATTTGCATAAAAGGTTACATTCAGTAAGTCATGTGTTGTCTACGTCACTGAGGTCAAATACATAAGCCAATCAAAATACATGAAACAGGGGATCACCAAAGTAATTTGCATATATGACTAGAGTCACATGGTTGTATACGTCACCACATCAAAAATATCCACCAATCAGAATCCAGGGTCAACCAAATGGCGGGGTTTCCTTTACAACACGAAATGGTTCAATTCAATTACACAAACAAAATGTGGGATATGCAAGAATTTTCTTATTCAAATACAGTCTCTCCGCAAGGAATCAAATTTAAAATGAATAAGACTTACGAAAAGTAGTTCACCACAACAAATATCCTGACAAAGCTGTTAAATACAATTTAAGAAAATGAAAGTAGGGTATTTTCCGAAAATATCTCAAAATTGGGTCAAACTTTAAATGTAAATATGAGTCTCAAAATGACATTTTACTTGCTTATTGGCTAGTAGAGACAAGACTTGAAGGCTGTAGAAATGTATTCAGATCAGACAGGGAAATAGATATAGGAAAGAGAATATTATAAGAGTTAGTTAATTTGCAAGTGAACTCTTACATTCTACAATATCACACAATATACATGTTTATTTATATGTCAGAAACTGCAGTTATGAATAAATACCAGTGACAATACTATAATATATAGTCTATCTGTACTTTACAACAGTAAATGAAAAGAAATTATCTCAATTACAGTCTTACATCAATTTATGAAATAAATTTAGATAGTTTTAACTGCAATTTATGAACATATAACAAAAATTTGTACTCACACTCTGTTGAAATGTATAAACTGTTACAACAAAACCTTTGGCCACTAGCACAATTCAGTTAAACAACAATATCCTCACACAATATCCTCACAGATAACTTATGTATAGTCCTAAATGTCACTTCTACAATTAATGGTTATAAATGTTAAAGTCCTAATTCTCTTCACTCCTCCTTCTTGGAAAATCTGTCCTCAGATGTTGATATAATCGAACGGTTTGATCGGAAGCTTCCTCGTCTACCAGCCTAGTATGATGATGGTTCTACTCCAGAGTATATCCTCGTGCCTTCGAAAGATTTCTCTTTTAAAAATTGATTTTCGGGAAAATCCAAAGTACAATGTTAAATTAAAAAGGGTGGAAAATGTAGTTTTGTACAAAAAAAAATTTAATTTTTACACAAAGTAAATCCAAATTAATAATTTCCCAAAAATTAAGTAAAAATCCTTTTTGTACACCCGAAATAAAACCCCAATTTTTTAAAAAAAATCCCTTTTTTTTCCAAAAATTTTTAAAAAAAAATAAAAAATGTGTGTGTCACTTTTCACTGGTTGTAAATTCACTTGCTGTTGACAATAGTTGAAATATCCGTTGGGCGCCAGATGTAATAGGGGTGGTTCGGCGCAATTATATATAACTATCCGAGCCCCTAAGGGTCAAATGAGTTCGGGATTGTTAAAATCAAATCAACAAACAGCTGTAAAGTTCTATCCTCTTTATATACTGATCACATCAAGGTTGGTACATCACATAAGGTACAAACCAACAACACTCTGAAATAAGTATATAACAATATGTAAATATAAAGTAAAATAAAGTAGAAACAATGCATTAATTATTATCATATCTTACATAATCAATTACATGTCTAGTGGCCAATTCAGTTCTTTACACTCAGCAACAGTCCTTAAATATAATATCATAGCTTATGGAATTATACTCATAATTAACATATTTTACCTTTTAAACAATACACAATACATCACACATGTAACTTACCATCTGAGGGATGAGTGCAGTACATCAATCTAACTATTACCTCTCTGACTATCACACCAGTGACTGTTAACTGCAAGGTTAAATATTAATAGTGAATAAAAGATGAAAGGTGATTTGATAGATACATGTCATTCTGAAACTCATACTTATTTACAAATTTCACAATCAATGGACTGATCCAAAATACAACAGAATCACAATAATGCAATTCTACATATTTACAATAAGCATTTAGCAGCAGTCAGGATAAATACATACCAACTTAGGAAATAAAGAACTTGACCACAAACACTTATTTTTCTAACCTCTCCTTTACAACAAAACAAAGACACAATGACTTTTCCCACCAATAAATCACATGACATAAAAATAGCTTAAAACCAACGATCCGTGAACCACTCATTTGAATTCTTAGAATACTGACCAATGTAAACATAAGATAAAATCAGTTAAAACCAATAGAGTAATCTCCCTTGAAAAGTATCAGACAAGACCGACGGATTTGTCTCCCTTTGCTACATTATAAAATCCAACAGTAAAGCAAGAGTATTGTCCCTTAGACCTGATCCTAAAAATAAGACCCTGTTACACGTATTGTATTTTTGTTCTTTTTTCTCAATAAGTGAATAATTATTTTCATCTCAAATTGAAACTGAACATTTTTGTAAGCCTAGTTCATACCATATATCTACTTACGCATATCTGTTTCATGTCAGTATGCACTATGTACATATCTTTTTTTGTTTTCTTTTTCTGTAAACTTATAAATCAACATCATCTATACTCATCTTATTTTTCTAATAGCTTCTTTTTGTAAACATTCGGATTGGTTTACATGGCATTTATGCTACTTTTTTCACTTTTGTATATGTATGCATGATCGTGTTTTACATGTTCTTGCTATCATTGTCAACAGTTTCATAGATATTTACAAACTCCCCCTATACGATCGTGCATACTCTTCTTTCGTGTTCATGGATCAAACTTTCACAAACATATTTCACCCTACCACATATCAAAATATCCTTTTATAAGGTAGTTAGTATATTTTTTCTACTTATACTATTGTTAATTGCCGGTGATGTTCATCCGAATCCTGGCCCATCAACAAATTCAGACAGCTCATTTGCATCTATTTCTTCTACTAGTACAACTACACTATCAGAATTAATGAAAACTTCAAGTTGTCTCTCTTTTTTACACTACAATGTACAAAGCCTCATGAGTAAAATTGATATCTTGGAAGCAGAATTTGGTATGTTTGATATTCTGGCGTTCACTGAAACATGGTTAAACTCTAACATTTCACAAACTGAAACAAACATTCAATCCTTTCATACTCCAGAAAGAAAAGATAGGTTTGAAAAACAACTATGGAGGTGTAATTTTGTATGTGAAGGAAAACCTTCACTATAAACGGAGGTTAGACCTCGAACCCAGAGGACTAGAATGTATTTGGATTGAAATCATGCCGTCTCATTCAAAACGTATCCTATTTGCTGTCTTTTATCGTCCCCCCAACTCAGATACTTCCTATACTAATCTAATTGAAGAATCTATCGGCCTAGCCCTTGATACTGGTATATCAGACATTATTGTAACTGGCGACTTTAATTTTAATGAAACGAATCAACAAATGACCCGAACATTAAACTCTATCTGTCAGCAATTTAATCTTGAGCAAATTATTTCTGAGCCTACGCACTATACAGAGTCATCTTCTTCTATACTTGACCTCATCTTAGTATCTAGTAGTCAAAGTGTATTAAAATCTGGGGTAGGTGAACCAGTTCTAGACCAGAATTTGAGGTTTCATTGTCCTATATATGCCTTTCTTAAGTTTTCAAAACCTTGTGTTTAGTCTTTCAAGCGTCTTGTTTGGCTGTATGACAAAGGTGACTATAATTTACTTAGAGATAAAATTTCTGCTACAGATTGGGATCAATTTAAGGACAACGATATCAACAACTACGCTTCCTTATTTACAAACAATATACTTAAACTTGCAATGCAATGTATTCCAACACGAAACATAAAATGTAAAACCAAATGATAAACCATGGATATCGTCACACATTAAAAAGAAAATTACTAAACGCAAAAAATATTACCATAGAGCCAAATTAACACAAAATCCTCTTCACTGGCATAAATTTAAAACATTAAGAAATGAGGTCGTATCTCTGATTCGCACTGCAAAACAAAACTATTTTCAAAAATTGGCCGATTCACTAAAATCAGAAACTCTAACATCAAAAGACTGGTGGAAACTCCTTAAAGATTTCATCTCTCCGGCTGATAAACAAACTATCCCGCCTCTATTCAATCCTGTTACATCTGAACTTGTTTTTGATTCATTTTCAAAAGCAAATATTCTGAATGAATTCTTTTCTGCACAAGCTTCAATAATCAACCAAAACACTGAATTTCCTAGAAACCTTTGCCAATCTCCAAGAAATAAACTAGAAATGTGTTGCATATCCCCTCAAGATGTAGAAGACGCTCTAAGATCTTTAAAAACAAACAAAGCTTCAGGACCAGATGGAATAAATAACAGAATACTACGAGAAACTGCATCTGTTCTTAAACACCCTCTTTGTTCTCTATTCAATCAATCTCTTCAATGCAGTACGGTGCCCCTTATGTGGAAAGATGCAAATGTATGTGCAGTTTTTAAGAAAGGTGACCCCTCATTACCGAACAATTATCGACCAATATCTTTACTTTGTTGTATAGAAAAGGTACTTGAGCGTATTATATTCAAATATGTTTTTAACTTTTTTCGTGATAACAAATTTCTTTCTTCTGTACAGTCTGGCTTTACACCAGGAGACTCAACAGTTAATCAGCTTACTTATTTATACAACACCTTTTGTAAGGCTCTCGACGATGGATTAGAAGTAAGAACAGTATTCTTTGATATAAGTAAAGCTTTCGACAAGGTATGGCATGATGGTCTTCTCTATAAATTAAAAAATGCTGGATTAAATGGAAAATTGCTGAACTGGTTCTCTGATTATCTTTCTAACAGACGTCAATGTGTCGTTCTTCCAGGAGCTCATTCTAATTGGTCAACTGTAAATGCAGGAGTTCCTCAAGGATCTATTCTTTGGCCTCTGTTGTTCCTGGTATACATTAATGATATTGTTGACGATTTAAACTCAAGTATACACCTCTTTGCCGATGTTACTAGTTTGCACATAATAGTTGACTATCCAATAGCTGCCGCGACAACTCTTCAATCTGATATTGATAAAATTTCAAGTTGGCTGATAAATGGCTTGTAACATTCAACCCTTCTAAATCGGAAACTATGATCATGTCACGCAAAACAAATAAGCCTTATCATCCGCCACTTCTAATGCATGATCAGCCTATCTCCTCAGTAAATAGTCATAAACATCTTGGTCTTTACTTTTCTGATGATTGCTCTTGGCATGTACATATTAATTCTATCAAAGAGAAGGCTTGGAAAAGAATTCATATCATGAGAAAACTTAAATTTACACTAGACAGAAGATCACTAGAAGTTATATATCTATCATTCATAAGACCTCTCATTGAATATGCAGATGTAGTCTGGATCAACTGTACACAATATGAAAAACTTGAACTTGATAAAATGCAACATGAAGCCGCCCGTATAGTCTCAGGGGCCACTAAACTTGTATCTCTTCAGGAACTTCAAGGGAAGTTCTTTGGGAATCGCTCGAAAGCCGTAGACAGAATCACAAACTTATTTTGTTTTACAAAATGAAAAACGGTCTCACACCAGATTATTTATCGTCCTTAGTTCCACCATCAGTTGGAGAAACGTCTATGTACAATTTACGAAATGCTTCTGACATGCAAACAATACGTACAAGAACTTCTCTTTACCATAATGCATTTCTGCCATCTATAATGCATTTCTGCCATCTACTTTGAGAGATTGGAACTTACTATCAACAGAGGTACAAAACTCAATATCTTTGTCCTCTTTTAAAACGCAACTTAAAGGTAATATAAAAAAATGCCCCAAATACTATTATATAGGTGAAAGAAAATGGCAAGTCATGCATACACGGCTCCGAACAGAATGTAGCTCTTTAAACCATCACTTATTCAGAAAAAATATGTCCCCCTCACCAAATTGTCAATGTGGTCTCCTGGAAAGTAACCACCACTTCTTCTTTGAGTGTCACTTCTATAATGATATCAGACTCAGACTATTTGATGCTGTTTCTAATATTTGTACTATAACACTTCATACCTTACTAAACGGAGACCAGAATCTTAGCCATGACATTAATTCTAAAATTGTTCAAGCAGTTCATGTATATATACGTGAAAGTAACCGATTTTCATGAGCAAATAATATGCCAACTTGACCTATCCGAATGAATCTTCCTTACCTTCTTTCTTATTCTTTTCAATTATTTATATTCTTTAAAAAAAGATCTTTTGAACAATAGCTAAAATCTTCGATTTTTTTTTCGTTTCAAATATGTTAAAAATTAACTTCATTGTTTCAAACAATATTGCAAACACTGTCATAATTTAACTGCATTGTGCAAATATGTAGGAGAAGACCTTTATAAGCTTTATAGCTTTCGGCTCTAATCCTTTTTCATTCGTGTATCTAATTATTGTAAATGTATTAACAACATGTACTTGTATCATTGTTTGAAATAAACTATGTTTAAATTAAAAAAATTAAGCGAAAAGTCGAGAATTAACAAGTTAAAATGGCGGGGTTGCGGCGCGAAAACACGCTAATCAGTGAGGGCGCGGGGCAAAGTTTAATAAATAAAACTTCGTCTCGCCGGGGCACGGGGCGAGATTTGAGGAATAAAACTAATTAGCGCGTTTTCGCTCCACGCCCTTGCCATTTTAACTCTCTTATTTATCGACTTTTCGCTTGGCTTGGTCGCGGGACGAAAACACGCTAACAAGCGGGGGCGCGGGATAAAGTTTAGTTAATACAATTTCGCCGTGCGCCTCCGCTAATAAACGTGTTTTCGTCCCGCGACCCGTTTTATTTCTAAAATCTCGCTCTGCACCCCCGCGGGCGAAGTTTTATTGATTTAACTTCGGCCCGCACCCTCCCTAATTAGCGTGTCTTCGCTCCGCGCCCCTGCCATTTTAACTTATTAATTTTCGACTTTTCGCTAAGCTGTTATGGCTGGTGTTGCAGTTGTAGCTGTTGTTGTTTTTTATATTCGTACTAGGGACGGACCGATTTACTTATGTTATTTGAACTTGTGGTCCAACCCTTTTTCTTTCAAAATGTATTTATATATTTTTCCTTTTTATATATTTGCATTGTTTATATTGTAAAAATTGAAAGGAATAAAATATGTTTAAACTAAACTGTTATCTTGCATATCTTATTGTTTATAACATGGCGGACAGTGATGTAATCGACTGAAAAAGTGTATCTTTATTTTTTGTGTTAATTATTGTGCAACAATAAGGAACTGGCACTTGGTCACTAGATCTGCATTCAACTTACCGTTCGACTTGCTTTCTCTAATATAGGCGTTAAGAATATCTTAACAGCTAGAGGGGGGCCTTGATCGAGCGGTCGGC